TACTATTTTACTAAATATTAATCACGAGTAATTTTATAACGACTACTGTCCACTGAGACAACGTTGTTATTTTTTTTTTTTTTATTGACCAATAACTCAAGGTCTTTGTTTGTATGTTTTTCAACAGTAACTCGAGTACAGCTCATCTGCTCACGCGGCACTATATATAATAATCACTTAAGATGTATTAATATTTATTTTCACATCAATGCGACTCTATAATCTAGTACAATCGAACAATTTAGAAATTATTACATTTTTACTCGTATCACGATTCACGATAAGTCACCAGTGAGGAATTCAGCGAGGGTGGCGAAGAGCCCCTCCCCTGTAAGCTGTGTTTTATTTAGGAAAAAATAAAGATATTAGTTGATAACATTTTTTTTTTTTTTGCTATTTTGATTTTATAGTAAAACTTACACGTGCGTAGGGAGGTTAGGTTATCTGATGACTTTTTTTTTTCATTTTATAGTAAAAGTAAAATTTACACGTACCTATGTAAGTTAAGTTATTGTTTAATATTCACCCCCTCCTCTGTTATCACGGGCTGGATCCACTTAGGCCGGAAACCGAAGCCAGACGGCCTTTTTGTCCGCCGTCGGAGTTTCAGCCAACATGAGATAAATACTAATAAAAAAATATTCACAACAAATGTGAGTGATTGGTGAACAAATTTTATTGCCTTATTTAAACTATTTAAACCAAAGATATATTTAATGAAAAATGACTATAAAAATAACTGTATACAAAACATTTTTTTAATCATTTATAACATTATGGAGCGAAATCTTTTGGATAGGTGCATATCCCTCATAACTAATTTCCTCAAATTTTTAAAACTAAGGGCCTGTTGGATTATTTTGCCACAGGCATTTAAGTTCTAATATATCACTGTATATATTGATCATAATGTAGTCAGTACTCGAATCGGTAAATTAAAAGAATGGGAACTCAAACAGAAATTAAAAAATAGTGCTCTGATAGAACATTTATTTAACACTAATTCGTAGGAGGCTTTGTGCCCCACACCCCCTTAATTACTACCATCATATTTTAAATTAAATAAATCCCAATATATATTATTTTTAACTTAGTGTTAATATATTTACACTTTTAATCACTTCAAACTTTTAATTTTTTCCTTAATTGTATTAAATAGAAAGAACCTATTATAGGTAGAAAATTCAATTAAAAAACGTATAGGTATAATGAACAAAAAAAAATATTTCGTTGTAATTTATATTGCAGAGGTGGCCACTAACCTTAACTTTGGGAGCCGAAAATTTATAAAGCTAATTCGAGGCGAGCCGCATTGTAAAGCGATGTTTATGAAATGAAGACACATTTTTGGCTACACATACTAAAAGCACCGCCGCCGTGCCAATCTATACCTAATAACGACTGTAATGATAACGAAATCGATGGCAATAAAAATGCTATCTAACGTTTTAACAATTCCAACAAATTTTAAATTTATTAATTTTAGTCTAAATTTAGTTCAAGAGCCGCACGAAACTAATTTAAGAGCCGCATGCGGCTCGCGAGCCTCGTTGTGGCCACCCCTGTTATATTGCCTCATCGTGTACCCGTGCGTTCTTTTAGGAAATTGTAGTACGGGAACGCTAATTAATATCAAAAGTTAGTTTAGGAGCTGAATTCCCGTGCGTTTCCTCCCAATTCGAGCACTGAGTGTAGTATAATATAGCAAATTAGAAGGGCGCCATAATTATTTATTAGACCAATTGAGTAGGTACACGATTGTTAATAAATATTTTTCTCACTTGAATTTTGGTTGAAATTAATGTCAAAATAATTATTTTCATTTTCAATTCATTTGTTAACAACCATCAACTTTGGTTCCCAAAAATTGGTCGCAGCCAAAAAATTACACTGCCATAGTGCCGTGTCAATCGTAATAAAATGCTAACTATTTTTTTTTATATGTATATATATATAGCCAGGCTGACGCAATGTATGCATTTTTTTTAAATAAAAATTAATTGATTATTATATAATCAAGTTACACTTCATAGACCCCACCAATCGGTCACATCTAAATAAAACTCGAAGTTATTTGTACTTGAAACATAGTTTCAGTTTAGTAGTAAGTACCTTCATCATACAAGTACCACATTCTAAATCTTTCATCCTGTCAACATTAAATTTTTGTCACAATGACATATTTCCTATATTATTAAAAAAAATACATACCTTACTCCGTCGTCGTTGTGATGCTATTTTAACTCAGACCTGTTGCTTTGTAACTTAGATAGTTCAGACTACCTCCACAACCCGCGTGGTATTCAAATATCAAATTTCAAATGGCAGTAACGTTAGATTAGGATCATTAACGCTAATAATAGAAAAAAAATTAACAGTTTACAGCGTATACACATGCTCGCATAAGTTAAAAATTAATCACACTGGAATGGTATTACAATTTTAAAATAAAAACACTTTTTAATAAAAATAAAAAGAGTATTTTCGTTGTTCCACGATGTTTTTTTTCTTTGATCCAAGTACAAATTTTAATAATTATTGTATAGAAGTAACGTTTCTGTAGACATATTCAAATTATTATGTATAACTTTTCATATAAAATTAAAATTTTCTTGAAAAAAGGCTACGACGAGTTCTTAAGACATTGTGTTCTTTTTTTTATTTTTAGATGATAGAAGTTTTGTCCTAAAAGTCTTCAAAACCAACTGTTAGGAATTTACAGCATACGTCTGGTACTTCGTATATCTTATTATTAAACAATAAAAACGTTTTGAAATTACATTCGATATTTCGAGCGTGATTATTTTAACCGTGTTAAATTTATGTAATACCTATAGCATATTTTTCCCCACAGTGAATTATTTATGTTTGAAAACTAAATATGACCACTTATCGTCAATCTAGAAAAATTATAAATCATAAAAATCATATTATAGGTACCTTTAAGTACCTAACATATGAATTATTCTTTAACTTCTAAATGTTGGTAAAATGCTGAATGTAAATCAGGCATGTCATTACGTCAAACTCAAAGTATCAAGTGGGCCAAATATATTGAATAGTTTACTATGCGGGCCTCATATAAAAATTTAACAAAAATAAATAAATATTTTATACATATTTTTCCATTTTATTTTTTACGTTTACGAACACAGCAAATACAACTAAATAAAAAAAAATTAGTTTATCAGAAGATAAGATAGTTAAATAATGTACTTATACCAAATTAACAATTCTCTAAGAATCCAAGATAGTTATGACATATTGACATGGCATTAATATTTTATTATTTTTTTTATTTTTTGTGCGGTCCGCGTGTTTGACATGCCTAAATTGTAAATGATAAAAATTGTATGAAAAATACCGTTTAAGCTATAATCATTATGATATTAATTATTAAGCTAAAACATCATTATGCTGATGTATGTTATTTTACTATCACTAAGTTTTTATATTAAAACTATTATTGCGATGTTGATAAAAGATAAAAGCTATTTGTAGTCTAGCCGCAATCCGGTCACGAAATGGTGGGTATCCAGATATTTCACCGCAATTAATTCACCGCATTTATAACTCACCGCGTTCACAATTCAACGCGCATATAATTCATCGCAGTTGTTTCATACGAGTAGTGAACGTAAAATGTCTAAACACAGTATCTTTAAACCAATTTTTTCATTCAATATCTATATATTAAATTACGACATGGCATTTTTGATATGATGGGTCATTAATTTTATCTTACTGATACAAATTGGTTTCCTTATCCTACATTCTAAATTTAGAAATCAGCAGATTGGCATACATGATACATGTTATACGATTACTTACTGTTAGGTACTGATTGTTGAATTATTGTGTCGGTATTACCCAGTAAGTGTACCGACGTGAACAAGAGTGTTTTGGTTGGCATAATAGTTTTTCATTTACATTAAATGTAATTCATTCTAGTATTTGGAAGTGTATCTATTGAGGCGTTTAAAAAAGAAGAATCATTAAATAAAATCCATGTTGAACAGTTTATTTCAGGGCATTCTATGGGCTTTAAAAAAAAAATATAAAGACTTTGCTGAAAGGTTAAAAAATGCGTGTGATGACTATCATAATAGAATAACAGAAGATTACTTAAGAGGCATAGCCCATAATTTTCAGTTAAATGTTTGAATAGTTATGTAGGTATAGTAATTTATTGTAATATTATTTTTCTTGGACAGTATGTAAATGTATTTGCATAAACTAATTTATAGTTTTTAATTAAATGAAAAATTATACTATTATGTTATTTACTTATTAATACATTTTACTATGGCTACGATGAATTGTATATCGGTGAATTGTAAATACGGTGAAATGTTGGCGGTGAATAGTCGCGTGGTGAATTGTCCACGATCCGAAATGGTGGTAGGTAGGTATGTAGGTATAAGAATCAATATTTAATTATGTATGAAACACAAAAAAAAGAAAACTTATATAGTCTATTTCGGTGATAATACTCTAAAATAATTATCGGCGGTGTATCGTGGTTTTTGATTAAGCGTTAGGCCGCTAGACGAGATGGTGTCTGATCGACATGCTGTGGCGCAAAACCGAAAGAGTCAAACCTTTGCCGTCAATAACAGTATGCCACGTCGTACCCAACACGGCTCCCAGTCTCTTCTTGTTCCATAGTCGTACATGGTAGGAAATAGAAATTCAGCCGGTCGCGTCATTATGTCTTATAGTAGTATTTGAAATGTTGAAAAAGTGATTGACGAGTCGTTAATCGCTATAATACTCGTACATTTTACTTGCTAGTTGCTAGTTTACTATTAAGGACAGCGTCAATTATAAGCTACCTAGGTATCTAATCTTTTATTTTAAACACCTAGATAAATAGTTGAATAAAATAAATTTTTTACTTCAAACTACAACATTCAAAACTCAATTTAACATTATAAATATTATATATTACAATATATTTAAGATTTTCAAACTAAGTCATGTTTGTTGCACAACAAAATAAACCTTCAAATAATAAATTTACAAGTTTTATAATTATTGTATACAAAATGTAAATAGTAAAATAGACTTAACTATAACAGATGTCTAAATTATAGGTAACTATGAAATAATACGTAATTCATAATTAAAAGTAGGTATGCCTACAGTATATCTATGTAATAAAATAATGAACACATGTTATTTATGTTTTTTTCTCAACTTCTTATAAAATTAAATAATTTGACTTCAAACATTTGGAAACCATCTTCAGTGTATGAGAACCCTAAAAATACAATACAGCACAACAAACACCAATATTGGAAGAGTGATGATGTTATTATACCATAAATAACAATACTCTAAGTAAAACAAAAAAAAAAAAATTGCCATTATCAATTAACTAAATTGCAATCTTTAATAATGATTAATGATAACTATTTACCTGAACTAGTGTCCAAAATATTAGAGCTAAATAGAGAGCATTATCAATGGGTTGATTATTATTGAGTGTAGCTTGAGGATTAGATGAAAACGATGAAGTAGCAGTAAAATCAGCTAATCTTTTTTCTTTCAACCTCCAAATATCATTTAACCATGTTTTTAAGCCGTCTGAGGTGTATGGTAAATCTGCCTCATCATATCTATGTAAATTAAAAATAATAAAATACATTAAACTTGAGACATTAAAAATTGATAATAATCAGAGTAATGTCTCGTTACTCACGTGCAAATTTAATATTTTAATTCCCATTATATTATACTAGAATATAATACATTATAGTATTGTCATACATAAGTAATTCAAATATAGAAAGTTCAGGCTTTTAAAAAAAAAAAATTGAATTGAATTATAGGTTTATTACTGATTATTAGAACTTAGATCTTTATGCATTTATCCCAATATAGCTTATAAGTCATAATTAATTAGTTACTTAACCAAAATACAATTTTTATGGTACATATAATTGAAATACTCTGTATTGAGATTCTGAATAAGAAATTAAAAATAAACATTGATTCAAAGAAATAAAAATATGTTAATAGTTTTAGAAATGATAATCGTTTTGTGTTAAATCAATCACCTGATATTAAACAAATGAAAAATTATTTTTTATTAGTTAATAGCTATACCATTATACAATTTAGAGGTAAAAATTCAATAAATAAAAAAAAGCAATGCCTAATAATTATAGTAATATCATTACAATAAGTTATAACTTGCCGTTTTATATGAAAATGCACACTTTTTGGAAATACTCCTCGTAAAGCATCCATTTCACTTTGTGGTATTAAATCTGGATAACCAATTGTCAAATCATACACTGCTTTAATTTGATTATCTGCAAATAAAATTATCAATATCAATCTGTTTTAAAAATTATAGATGTAATGAATTTTACTTTTTCGCATTGTGTTAGCAAGGAAGACAAATCCTGTAGTTTTTGGATGAAGTACATATTTATAACTAGGAAGATTGTTTTTTGCAGCATATTTATTGCTACGTATAATATTGCTTGGTGATAGATCTGTTCCTTCGGGGAACAATAGAATCTATAATTAATGATTGATTAATTACTAAATTATTTCAAATTTCTTATCAAAAATAAATTTTTCTTTGTTTTGTAGTGTAACTTGTAGGCTATAATCAATAATTAAGTATTTTTTTTAATATTATAAATTTTAGGCAATTAATTAAGCTATAAGTTGACATGTCATAAAAGTGTATTACAATAAAATATTGAATAAGTAGACTTATACTTAAATTTAACAAAATAGTATTAACATTTTTGACTTTTTCTTACACATTAGTATACAAAATTTCAAATTATTATTTTAATACCATTTACCTGATGAATATCATTTACATCACTGAAGTATTTTAACTGTTTTTCCATTGAAGACTGGTCATGATCCCAACGACGCTGTATGTACAAAAATCCCGATAACTGCATCACCCAACCAGCAAAAGGTACATGTCGGATAGCCGACTTGAGTACCATTTTTAGCTTATGTGCGGGTGGCTTGGAACTGTAATACATACCACCCCACAAAAAATTCCAATCCAACCGATTACGGTGATTCATAATTAACAATGCACCATCAAATGGATTAATGTGATCTCCAGTTATTATAAAACGAGTGTTGAACAATAGACGCATCAATATCTAAAAATTAATTACTATAGTTCAATGAATAAAAATGTATATTGTAAATTACTAACGGTGGGATACATCTCCCACACAGAGAATATGATGCCTATAATATAACGGAAAGTATGTGGACAAACAAACATCAAGGGTACTAATGGACAACATAGAGCCAGAAATCCACTTGTAATGCTCAGGTACCACAATGTAATGTATGCAATTCCTCGCCATTCCATTTTAAATTGTTTTTAACTGTAACAAATTTTCAAATTAAGATAAAATCACAAAAGTTACTTAATTAAATACGTGTATAAAAGCATGCACTGAGAAATACCAAGCCAAGTACAACCAGCAGTTATAAATTAATAAAGGTTACGACGGACAAACTAAATTGAAACATAAATACTTAATACAGATATTTGGTTAAATTTAACTATATTTTTAGATATCATTAATTATGTGTCACATCTTCACATCTTTATCAAGTTACATTTTTTTCAACACAATTTAAATTGTATCATTTATTATCATTGAGTAATTATATTATTTAAGCTATAATTAATGGTTAAATAATAAAAGTACAACAAAAGTAATGCATTTGAACAAAAATCAATTTTTCACAACTTCTATGTTTAACTTATTACAATATTAATATATTATAATTACTATTTAATTTAATTATAATTATATTTTCTCGCTAATGAGTAATTAATTACACTATTTAATAATTAAACCAAAATAAATAGGCCAATTCATTTGTAAAAAAATTTTTACTCATAAAATTAAATTGTAAAAGTGGTGTATAAAAGGTTACAATAAAAAAAAAAAAATATATAATTAATAAATATTATGAGAGGTAACATGGCAGTTCCTTACAGTAAAATTCTTTAAAAAAAAAATAGACTTGTATGTATTAAATCAAAACAATTAATTTGATCAAACATTGTTTGATTCATGTTAACTATCTGTAAAATAAGAATTATGAACATAAAGATCTAAGTAAATACAATTTTAAGTCTCAAAAAATATAATAATACTTTGTAATAAACTGCGAACTAATATTTTTTAAATATGATTGGAATTTTATAATTTCAGAGAAATGCAACATTTTTTTGTTTATAACATAGTATAGAAATAAATTAAAATTAAATTAGAATATACCACTGTTACATTACACCAAAAAATAGATAAAATAAACATACATAGAGTTAAAAATTTAAAAATCACATAATTTGGCCATAAAATAAGAAAATTCTTATATAATAAAAATGGAACCTAAACTTTTTTATATTTTATATATTTCTTGAGAAGTTGATTAGTTTCAATATCCGTTTCTTTGTCCTAAAATAATTATAATTATTATTTTAAAACTATTGCAATTATAATAAGATTAATGTAAGACTATTATTTTATTGACCTCAGAATCCTTGACAGGAAGCTGCAATGCTTGTTCCAACCAATTAACTGCAGTTTCATAATCGTTTTTTGCTAGATAACACTTGGCAAGATGTAGGTGACAGTCTTTTAGCTGAATTGGAGATTCGCGTTGAAATTTTAAAAATAATTCAATAGCCTCTGATATTGTACCTTTAGGTACTTCTCCATATAACCAACTAGCTATACGTCGCTCAAAAGATGACAAAACAGCAACCTAAAGAAATATTATAATTTTTTGTTAAATTGTAAACTAATTAATTAATTCAATAAATTATACTTCATATTCAAGTTTTCCTTTTAAATAATATAAAGTTGGATCACGAGAATTAATTTTTATAGCTTCATTTATGTGATTTTGAAATATGTAACCTCCTTCAATTTTTTCTTTAGTTGTACCTAACTGACCACGAGCACCACTACATATAGCAAACCATTTATGTGCATTGCAATTCCCTGGATACATTTCCAAGGCATGCTTTGCCCATTTTACACCTGAAAAATATTAATTTTTTTTAGAATTTACATTTAAATTATTTTGGAAATATCTAACCTTCATCAATTACTGATTTACTCTTTTCTGGATTTTTTTTTGCTGCTGTATAATATTTTGATACAAATTGACACGATTTTGCTAACCTCCAAAGTACCTCAATATCGTCTGTTCGCTACATAAATAAATTAAAACATTAATGAGTATTTGTAAATGTATACTAAGTAGAATGAAAATAAATAAATTTACTTCTTCATTAAGTTTTACTAATATTTCATAAGCTTTAAGTTTATCTTCATCAGAACCTTCAAATAATTCATCTACTTGATCAAAAATATCATCACTAAGTAAAGAAGGTCCAGTATAATGGTCACTAAAATGTTCTGAAGACAAGCTACCATCTGGACTACAGAAACAAAGTATAATTATGATTTTTAACTAGTAACAAAATAGAAAAAATTGCTTACTTTTCATTCAGAATGTTTGAATTTTGGGATTCTTCATTTTCTGATGACATGTCGTGAAATTCGTCGTTACTTCCTAGTGCTGTATACAAACTAGCTTCACTTGTTACACTGGTGCTACTAGATAAAGTTAATCTTTTTCCAGGTTTTATAATTTTTTTCCTAAAATTAAAATAAACATGGAAAATTTATAAGCATTTAACATAAAATATTAAAAACATTTTACTTTAATGCTTTAAATTCTGCTTGAAGATCAAGTATTGCAATATTTAAATCATCAACTTCCTGTTTTAATAAATTTTTTTCTTTTTTTTCAAGTAGTCGAGTTATAAAAACCACCCCAACTGAACCAACCGTTATTCCAATGCCAACTGCAACAGCTATTACTCCCTTTAACCAATGCGGATCTGTTGACATTACATTTGGTGCTCCTACACAATACAACAATCAGACACAAGACACAAAAACACCAAATGTTTCTATCACCTTATTATACAATTGTTTAAGATTGAACTGCAAATTTACATAGATATATTTATCTTTTAATAAATACTATGAATTATTGATTTATGAATATATAAATAATTTAAGTTCAATTATTTTTTAGTAATTCTGTTTTATTTTTCAACTTCTAGGATTATCAATTTTGATTTGATTTCTGAATATAAAAGCAAAATCTTTTTTCTTTAAAAGATTTGTAAGGTAGATAGTTACAAATATTATTTAACAAATTGATAATTCTTTTTTATAATTTTTAAGGTAGGTAAAATAGAACAAATTTAAATGTTTGAATAGTTAATTTTAACAAAATCTATAGATACTTTGCAAACAGTAAAATTATGTAAATATCATAAGTAATAAATATTATAATTAGGGTTGTGAATTTAATGCACTAAAAAACTTTAAAAAATGCCAAAAAAATGCAATAAAATATGCACTTAAAACGCAAAAAAAGGAATATAAAATGCCAAAAATTATAGTATAAAATTCATTTAAAATGGTTTTTAATTTAATTTTTATATTTTTATTAATATTAAGTACAGGATACTAAACGTTAGTACAAAAAAGTGTTTATTTAATAAAAAAGTTGATTGAATCTGAATTAAATTAATGCTATTCACCAGAAATATTTAAAAAAAAATTTTTTTTGTATTTATTTTGTTAAAATAATAAAACAAATTTAAAGATATAAATACTAGAAAATTAACCAAAAAAAGCAAAATATGACCTAAAAATGCGAAAAAATGACCTAAAAAATTAAAAACGTCAAAAAATGCAAAAATATGCAAAATAAGTTTTATAGATGGATTCATAATTACATAATTCAAATTATGTACTTACAAAGCTATGTTTTACAATCACCAAAAAAAAAAAAATGCACTTTCCTATAAATTCACAGCCTTGGTTATAATTTAAAACAGTTATTAATATAATTTATTCTTGGTCTAAGCATAGGTAAAATAAAAATTAATAGAAAATTAGTTATGATTTCCCTACTTGATAATTATTTTATAGTTTTATTGATACAATATTTGTTTAAATATTTGAAGTACATACAAGTAAATGTTATTAACTTTAATTATCTTTATTTTAGTATATTCTTTTGTATCATATTACATTCATATATTACTATGTTTATGTATATAATTTTCAACTAACTTTAAGGCACAAAATATTTATTATATTGAATATTAGAAATATCTTACATATTTATGGATTTACAATATATGTAAGTACTCGTCTAATATACTACCTATCATAAAATGGTATCTACCAAAAACTGTATGCCTGTAATATGCTACATACCATAGTTATTTTTGTTTTATTTCATTTTATTGCAGAAAGTACATTTGAGTCATTACGATAAATAACATATAACAGTTGTACAAATTTATAGCTTAATAGTCATTATATCTAATCCACCAAGACCCATGATAACTTAATTTTAGATATATTATTTTAGTCTATGTTGTGTCTGTTGTGTTTGCGTATGTGTCCTAATCGTTGCAAGTTTTACTTTTTATTTCTTTATTTTAAAATAAATAAAAATGAATAAATCAATGCGCTATATTTATAAGGACATATAATATGTAATGAGAAAACATGTATTATCATCAAGAAAGAAACTTGTTTCCAGAACTTGGTAGTTGTTCCAAATTAAAAGATGGTGTTATTTGTGAAGGTACGTTGAAAGAATATCAAAAAAATAATCGTTGAAGGGACTCAAATGGTAATTTATTAAAAATTACTTACAAATTTACAATGTCAAAAAAAAAGTTGTCAAACTTATTACTCTTCAAAAAAAAAAAATATCCTTTTTTTACATATTGATAAATTATTAAGTAATAAATTGTTATTAATCAGTAAATGTTTTTTGGTAGGTATAATTTTACAACAGGTAACATACTACACCAATGAAGTGTAGGTAGCATATTAAACGAGTACCCAAATGTATTAAAATAAATTGTAACTACCTGTCGATGTAATTTATTTTAATGTCATTCTACTAATTATAAGTCTGTATTTGTTAAATAGTTATACTTATTAGTTATTATAATTTAAATAAAAGTATTGTTGTTATCATTAAGATATTAACCTATTACATTTAATATAACCAAATGTAGTTACATATTAGCTATTAATTAATTACACAATAAAATGTTTTAAGATAATGCATTAACAACGTATTATTTTATACAGTTGTAATTAATATATTATAATACATTTATCCATATAGATTATTAATGCAAACATAATATACTTTTGACTCAAATAAATAATATATTAAAAAAAAGTTTAAGATATATTTACAAATAATAAAATTATAATTATTATTACTACATCATAGAAAAGTATTTAGTATAATTTTTTAATGAACAGTAACACTCAGAATAATTGGTGGTACAATCACAATAAAAATGGTATACATTTTATAGTTTTTCTTATTATAATAATGTACTTGATAGACAGTACCAGTATTTAGCAATTAGATACCTACTAATTTACAACATAAGACATAACTAACATCAAACGTTAAAGATAAACATGTACTGTATAGACAAACTGTCATAGCGATAATAACACACATTTTGTATAACTAATTTATCACAAGCAATTTCAATTATTTCACTTTTATTTATCAAAATATCTAATCTATTAAAATTAAAATTAAACAAGCCAAATAATCATTTTTAAAGAATAAATGATTATATCAAAACCAATTTTAACTGAAATTATACATGTTATAATAACAATTAAAAATATTGTTATACTTATTTTATTTTATAAAAACTAGAAACAAAAAAAAAATATTTGATCTTAATTTATGAATACAGAATGTACTGAACACTTGAATATATCAATTTAAGCACAAAGATTTGATTAAATGTAATTTTTCCATACAACTCAAATAATTGACAATTTTCAAATGAAGTTATATATTTTACATTTATTAATTTAATATCATAAATTAACTAATGACTAATTCATAAACCATATTCACACGTAGTGATTTTTATAACAGAAAATATTCATTATTTCAAATAATATTAACTTTGATCATGTATAATGCATAATATGTTTATATAAACATGTGTTGAGCACAAGTTATACTATGATTTTTAGTTTAAATATATTTTAACAATTAGCTTTAATCTCAGCATTACATTAAAATTGTTAAAGTATAATATAGTTTGTTATAAATTAATAATTATAATATAAAGTCAAGTGCTAATTGTCAACAACTATAAGTACCTGTTTAAAACATGTCCGCCGTAACACTAACACAAAAAATCTGTTGATGTTATTCTACCAAAATGTCACAATATATAATAAGAAGCAAGGAGATACCTACAGGGTATGCAGTAGAATTAATGGTTAATAATAATCTCAATATTTTTGGAAATCAGACCAAAACCATTAAAAATTATCTAAACAATCTAGTATAGGATAAGTGGAATCGGGTTTGGAAAAATAAAAGAGTATCAAGAAGACAAGAAAACAAGAACGTTTTAACAGGTGTACTAATTCGTGCTGTTAATAAATTATAAAGATAGGTATATTGTTAATATTCAACTGAACTCACTTACCCTTACGTCCGTTTATTAATGTGTACAAAGGTCATATGTTGTGTCCTGAACTGTCGTACTGGGAAAATATTATCTAAGCTCTAGAGATATTTTAAAAGTTATTCAATAGGTGCAATTTATGAAAATAATTAGTCAGATATTGAGAGGAATACAAAAAAAAAACCTAAAGAAAAAAAAAAAATACAGAGCTGTGTATCCGAAGTTCGCGACGGTCAAATACGATAAGCTACAAACGAAGTTGGTAACTCAGGTTGATAAGAGGACCCTAATCTGGTTTAAATATTTTTACTTATTATGTAATATCTGTATAGTGTATTATAATATTATATTAATTATGACATGTATAATATTATTAATATTATATTTGTATTACAGACTATAGTATTAAAATATATACATTTTAAAAGATTTTATAGTGGTCACGATTTTATGTATGATTTAAACCATTATTAAAAAAAATAATAACTGCAGAGTGCAGACTGTGGCCGAATAATCGAAACACCAGACACAACACGCAACACGTTGTTGCTCGGTTCGATTAATGATAATTTGTACATAGTCATAGATAATATTATAATTTACAATTCATGTTATCAAACATCAGTAGTGTGATTTAAACGTGAATACTTTTTACCTTACCTGTAAGTTATTCTTATTTTTTATTAACTACGTGACTACGTGATGATTAATCTTAAAATTCAAGCGATTCTTATTTCTTAGATATTTATTGAGTAAATTATACTACTTAACGACGGTCTACGATTAAAGATGACCGTTTTGAGTTGACTGTTATCTGTATTTGTTTTACTACAAAAATCTTCATAAAAACAATCATATTTTACTTTTCAAGAAAAATTCTGTGTGTCAATATTTCCATTTTCCTAGGCATTTCGAATACGACACAGATTTGTTATTTAATACACCATCAATAACTGTTTTTTGTTTTATATGATATACATATTGATACACTTGTAGACTCACTAAATATTTTAAATATTTATACTACTTAGACTTTGGTGTAAACTTAAAATTGATAACTGACAAAAGGAAAGAAAATGTCCAAGGTATCACGAAAAGTTTTGCTAGGTTTTGTAGATGAACATATTGTAAATGAAAGCTGTTCTGATGATGCATATACAATAAATAAAATAGGAGGGTTATCAGTAAGTAGTTTGTTAAGCTAATTAATTAAGAGTCTTTTTTTTAAATTAACTTTTAATTATTTTACTAGGATACACAAAATCAAAATTTTTCTCCAAAGTGTCCACTATGTAATCACCAGTTACCATTACTTATTCAAATATATGCCCCTGTTACAAATTCTATTTATCATAGAACATTATATATACATGCATGTGTAAGTCCAGGATGTTGGAACAAATCTCAGAGGTAAAGTATTGAGTAGGTACCTGTTATTATATTATTGTTAAATAAAACAATTCTTATTCAGTTGGATATGTTTGAGACGGCAGTGGATCGCAGTAGATCATTATGAAGATAAGCAGCAGTCTACGACAGTTATAGAATGGTGTGATGATGCTGACGACTGGGGTGAAGAACCAATGACTGAAGAAAATGATAACAATACTGTTAAAAGCCAAGCAATTGAAATTTATGCTTCTGCGAGTGCTGAGTTAGAAAATTCTGATGTTGATAATAATGTAGTTGCTGAACCAATTGAAATCCCTAATATAAATTGTCTTCAATTGTTAGATAATAGAAAAGAAATACCTTTAGTAAGTTATTTAATCAATTCAGACATCATATCTATATGTATAAAAGTTTAAAAATTAAATTAAATTAAATAAAAATAATGTAAACCATTTAACATTTTCATATAACCAGGTATAAAAAGTGTTAAAAAAGTCTAGATTTTATTTTTAGAAGTATTAAAGTTTTAGTATAGAACAAATTTCTTACAGAAAAATAAATGAAACTAGACTGGTTCTTTCTTATTTTAACTATAGCCTATCAGTTACTTAAAAAAAAATAACTAGTCAAGTTAAGAATTTATTTTGATATTGATCTAAATTAACATTTTTATTAAAAAAACTAATTGATAAATAAGTTGCTTTAACTTAAGATAAACTATAAATTGAATGCTTTATATTTCTGGTATCATAACAATTTATGTTAAGAGTGTTAAAATTCAGTATAATAATTTAACTAAAGTACTTAGCAAATAACAACTAATAAATTATGTAAATGTTTTAATAAAATATTAAAATGTTATGCTTTACAAATCATGCTTTTACCTAATAATTTGTATAAGATTAAACTAAATAGTATGTACATTATAATTAAGATAATTATAATTTTTTGAAGAATGATAGTCAATATATAAAAATTTGTTAATTAATAACTTTATACTGATATTTAAAACAGGATCACTATGATATGAATATATATTTTGAGCCGTATTTTATATCAGTAGCTTATGAAGAATCATCAGATATAGTAAAAGAACATGCTAATAATTTATTACACAACTATCAAAGTAACCAAACAATTCTTGAAGAAAAGAATGAAGGCTATGAAAAAAGTTTACCAGCTCATGGCGATAAATATTTTGAAACATTTGCATCAACAATAAGAAAAAATCCTGGTCAAATCTTAAGGTTTGTACAATAATATCAATTTAATGTTTTATGCTTTCCTATCCACAGATATTTCTAAATTGTTTGAAATAAAAACTTGCTTAACATTTTTTTTTTAGGTATTGTCGTAATGAAGGCAAACCATTATTTTTATATGAAGTTAGTGAACCAAATGAATGTACTAACTGCAAAGGCAAATTACTATTTGAGTTACAAATTCTTCCATCATTAATTTCATATTTGAAACTAATATGTGGAGAGGAACATCTTGGTACCGGACACTTAGAATTTGGAACAGCTCTAATATACACCTGTGAAAATAATTGCTGGAATGAAGGAGATACTTTTAAGTATGAATGTGTTATAGTGCAAGAAGAAAAACTATTTTAAATTTTTATATTTATCTATTAAAAGACTTAAACAACAAATAAAATATAGTTGTTTTATTTAAATATAATATCAAAAATAGTAAAATATAATGATTGTATAATTTTCTCATTTACAAATGATTGAAACAACAATTAAAAAAAAAAAAAAAAATTAAAGATTAAAGATAACCAATCAAATTATTATTTGCAATATTTTTTATGATGAAATCTAAAATTGATCATAAATTAATGTTTCACTTATAAAACAGGGTCTGGGTCAAAATTCTGATCATTTATAATTCTGATATTAGTAGTCCCAACAAATATTATTGTTATCAAACACTAAAATATGTAATATACAAATTAAAATAAATTCATTACATCATTGATAATGATTGCATATTTTTAAAACTCAAAAAAGAAGGATAAACTATACTTCTAATGTAGTTGTGTAGACTGTAAAATACTTCTATAGGGTTTATACGAAAATAAATATAAACTAATTGGTTAATCATTATTTTAGCTTTATATACCTACCTCCTCATTGGATTCTAATAAATAAGAAAAGTGTAACTTAAAACTTTTAGTTGAATTGATATATATATAATATTATACTTATGCTTGATGAAAAAAATATTTATTGTTGGACTTGAATAATTTTGCCATTATGTATATTTTTATTTAGAAAACGTTTAAGACTAACTTTAAACTATTATTTTTTTCAATACAATAAATTTCATGTTTTTATTAAAAAATTAGTTCAACCTAGTGCATTACCAAGTTTTATTTTATATTTTAATTTTGATTTTAATAGATTTTTATCATATTCAATTGATACCATAAAATAATCAAAATTAAGTTAAATTTGTTTTTAACTTTTTTTAAAATATAAATTTTACTGAAAAATCTACGTAGTACTAAATAATGTTCCTTAATTTCCTGTACAATTCAGCATATTAATTAATAAAATTTGAATTTTAAGTATATATAAACGAAGTAATTCTCAATTGATTATGAATTGGTGACACTAAACTCACATACAGACACCTTATGACAGACAGATTCACCTCTATGCCAAACATGCAATATAAACTACTCTATCAAACATTATTATCATCCACTGCCCAAACTTTAAAGAAGTAAGGAAAGCCTTTAACATTCCTAACAACCTGTATAAAGCAATTGATCTATTTTCTAATTATCAGAATATAATTTTATATCTAAAAAAAATTGAATTGTAAAAACCTTTGTAGTTGGTGCTTAATCAATAAAAATAAAAATGGCAACTAACTATAAAGATTGTATATTAGATTTATTAAAAGATTTTTAGCCTTGTTGCTATTGAATTGTTTGTGTTTAAATAAAAAAATTATTATGATCAAAAGTACATTTACGTATAATTAGTGTACAATACTTAATATTATACACAAACCTTCATTTTTTTTTTTTTATTACTTTTAACAAATTGTGGTCTGATATAAAAACTATGTCACGGTGTACAATTATCTAAGTCAAGTGTACTTAATTCAAAAAAAAAAAAATCATCAGCATAACAGTGACCACACATTATCCTTGGAAAATGCATATTACATTTTTAAATGATAAGTTTTCACTTCAAATTATGGAGACTGTAATTGAAAAAAAAATTGTAGTTATACTGAAAAGCCAAAATATATAACTGTAGGCTGTAGCCTATAGGGCAATAGCCAATTTGATAGATTTTGATTGATTAACAATTATATCAAGTTTACTAGGTTTAAGCTGAAAACATTTTTAATATTCCAAAAATTATTAGTGGCATGTATATCAATAAAAATATTTTATTAATAAAATAAACTATATTTATGTTTATTGATATCAAAGCTGTAAATAGATGTACCTACCTTATAATATGTGTGTTTGTTTAATAAGTAATAAGATTCAATATTGTATAATATTTTATCTAACATAAATGCTACGAGTACCTAATTGATTAATTTATACTTCGTAGTTGCCGGGTTATGGTGGTTGATGCGCAAACATTAGTTAGGTATCTACTATTCACCTACATACACTTACATTTGAATACAATTGTTAGTTTTGAAGTCTTATCCCTTACATATATTTATATACATGTTTTCGCTTATTATTACTCATTAGTTAAACGACCTAACAAAAAAAATAATAAATATACTAGTATATTTCATAAGAATTAACAACACGTGCATTATTCATTAATGAATGAAACAAGTAATGAACTTTACAGTTTATTGATGCTGCGCTGTCCGTCTTTAATTATAAATTATGGATTCGAAACAAATATAACTGTTAAGACGTAATAATGTAATATAATAGGTATAAATTATAGTAATATAGGTATGCCACCACGTCATAAAACAAAATTATAAAATTTAAAATGGTAAGACTACATTATTACATGAGTACATATAATTGATATGACCTACCCTCATAATTTGTATTTTATTGTTTACGGTGTTTGATGTCGACGACACGAACGGTTTTTACTGACTACTTGTATTGTGAATACTGAGCAATAATTACATTAACAGATTAGGTCCAGCCGGTCCAGGGGTATATTGAAGTGTCTACGGCATGACCACAGAGGCAGCATGAACTTTTTTTTTCAGTGAAATTACTTTTTTAAAGCAAATTTGATGAAGGTACACATCCACAAATTATTTCCACGTTAAGAGGGCTAAATCTATAATTAGTATAATCTCGATTAAAAAAAAAAAAAATAGTAAAAATTATTGGAAAAACATAAATATGTCTTGAATCATTATAAGATACCTATTCCCGTTTTCACGTGAAATGGTTGCTTCATAAAAATGACGTAAGTATATCTTACTCTAATAACAAAATGTATTAAGAAATGCGTATATTATGTAAAAATAGTTTTAATTTTATAAGGTGGTATACGGTGAATAGTGAAAAATTATTTGATATTATTTGTTTTTATCCTGTTTTAAATTGTATTTTTTCTTTTTAAATTCTACGGTGACGTAGATAATAATATAATAGCTGATGTACAAATGGATTGTTCGCTGAAAATAATAAAATTACGGTGGTTAAAAGTTTATATTATCCAAAAATTTAATTTTTTTTTTTATTTATTTATTGGTTGCGAACTAAGGAAAAATCAACAAAAATGTGATTGTTGACTAGGTAATTTTCTAACACAGCGAGAAAAACGGTTTTGAGGTACATTAAAAGTTATGGCATGTACCTACTTGATAGGTACTTTTATAAGTTATAACTTATAATAATACATGTACAATATCGTACATCACTGTTGAGATACATACTGACAAGTCAACATGTCATGTTAAATTTTATAACTATACTACATACAAATATACATCATAGTTCCAGAGATATTAGGTTGACCATTAAAATCGACTATAACAATTTTATTAACATACAAGGTTTGTGTTAAACTGTGTAGGTATGCATTGTATGGCATTTTTGAAGACCAAAAAACCGTTATAACAACAATATAGGTAATTATCAGGCCTGTCGTTTGGGTGGGGGGAGGAAAGATAGGATTCCTCCCGGGCCCGAAAAAAGATAACTAATAATATGTAATGTATAAATACATATAAAAGATGTAAAATTATTTAAAAAGCAATTTAATTAAAAAACTAATATTGTTTACAAATTTGTGCTTTTACTTTGCTACTTGAAATAGAAAAAGTATAAATATTTGAAATTTATTTGGTCTTGTGAGAAGTTACGGGAAAGAGGGTGATCGTGGCTCCTGAAACCACCACTAATAGGGGCCCTTAAGCATTTTCCTCCCGGACCTGAACTTTTCTCTCTACGGCCCTAGTAATTATTATACGCATGAAATGTATAATAAACTACACGGTAAACTTGAGTATTTTAATTAGAAAGTTGTTTTGAGAACAGTAGAAATTTATCACTACCAATAACATTTTTATATTGGATTTATAAAATCAAAACTATTTATTTTTGGTGAACTGGTGAAGACGTGAAGTGCTGCTAATAATAAATTAAATCACGTTTTAAAATTGTGAACAATGCTATATTATACATACACTATCTTGTTGGCTGCTGCAAAAGTCTATATATACATACCTAAATATAGTACATAAATATTAATAATTGTATTATAGCAGCCTGCAAGTACCTATTATAGTATGGTATAGTTTTATATATATATAATATATATATATATATAATATATATATATATATAATATATATATATATATATAAAATATCAAACATATCAACACCAATTTATGAAATATGTAGGTTATTTTATTTATAAATCAATATTATAAATCAAGTAAAAAATATGAATAAATAAAAAATATCAATACATATATAGATATACCTACGTTAAATTGATGTCACTAATTTTAATATAATAATGGTTATAGGTAACGATTACTCGCCGATAAAATATAAATCTCATGCAACATTTATTTAATCTCAAATAATGATAAATGATAATATGTTAAAAATATAAAATTTCTATTTTGTACACTATATTTTATACACAATTTAATGACGTCGATCTAATGCTTTGAAATAGCAATAAAAGATCCACGCATTTATTTTTTGGACGGATAACTGATAAAAATTTGTGCTACGAATTGACCCGAACTGGGAAGACGTGAACAAAATAATATAAATAATACCAGTATATTATATACTTATATTTATATAATATATAAAAAAGAAACCAAAAGCAAGTTTAAATAGCAATAATTTTAGCGTAGCCAAAATATGATGGTCTCTTATTATTACAAAACGTTTAAAGTCGGTTACACTTTCCCACTCATACGTAACAAAATAAAAAAAAAAACAAGCAGTTTAACCTATAATGATACAAATTAAAAATAATAACCAATACCTATTTGGAAGAAAATGGTCCATTCGTACAAAATATTAAATCAAATTAAAAAAATAAAAGGTAAGTAAAACCTGCATATTATTTTATTATTTATCACTATACTATAAGTACCTATAAATATTAAAGTACTTTATACTTAATCTATGTTTTTAAATAAAGTATAACATTGTATAGATAGTTTAATTTTTTTTAAAAATGCAATACACCTACTTTAAAGTACTTTTTTAAAGTATGAAAATAGCACAGTTATCCTATAACTACTAAATAATCATATAAAATATTTAAGAAATCTTATAACGCGTCAAAAAAATAGGCGGTACTTAGATTATTAATTAATATTAACAAATCACATTAAATAACAAAACAAACATTTAAACAATAGGTAGTTATAAATGTATAACAGAGGGAGAGAAAGTATCCTATATAAAAGGTAATGAAAGGTGAAAGAAAAGAAAATAGGTGTATAATAATAAATTATAAAAATGTAATTCTTAATAACCATTTAAAATTTTTTGTCGAAAGAACTGTAGTTAAGATAAATATAAATCATAATATTACTTATAATTAAAATTATGTTACCTAATATTTAAATTAAATATAGTCATACTTTTCTTAAAATTTATGTCTAGTTATAAAAATTATAAAAAAAAAAAAAAAAAAATAGATGTTAAATATCGAAAAAATCATAATAATATAATTTACATAAACATACAGTATATATATTATATAGGTATCTAAAAAATGTGTGCCATATACCTACGTGAGTATCGTATGACTGTTCTGTTGAGGCGGAAAGAGCGCGTTTTGGAGTAATAATGAAAAAAGCTGGTGTTAATAGGTAACGAGATGGGTCGCGATCGCCAAAATAATGGTCAGGAACACGGTGTAGCTTCCGATGACCATCGCGCCGTTGCAAAGGTCTTGATCACACGTGCTGCAGTGTTCGATGCGTATGTTCGCGGGCGTGTTTATGGCGCATGGGCCATCATCGCTCCGGCTGTCCGATGCCCAAGCACACGACCGGATTATTAGCAGCTCGCCGTTCACTGTAATTTACATTACATTACAATAAGTAATATTATTACATAAAATTAATAATTAATTATATTATTGTAATAGAGCATTGTATATTACGCGATGGCCAAATTTATGGAAATGGTAGTTATATCGTATAATATTGAATAATGAGCGATTTTTAAAAATAAATAATTTTCCGTTTAAATTATAATTTTATGTTTATTGATAACAAGTGGAATTAAAGGTATTTGTAAATCCGGATAATAATTTATTTTATGTAGCTATTTGCACCCGAGCAAAAATGTGTTTATGACTAAATTCTATTTTTAAGTATTAAGATTGTATCGTACATTTACACTGTATAAATTAATATTTTTGTACTTATATGATTATAACTTATATTATTTGTACTGTTGCAGGGTCAATACGCAAAATAATCAGAAAAGACACTGTATGAATGAGAATTGAGATAACAAAACTCGAAAAAATTTGTTGAATTTTCCGGCTAATCGTCGTGTTTAAAAGTTTATTGAAGTGTTAATCTGTATTTTTGGCGGTTAACAGCAATAATTACTGCGTTCTATCGTCCTGATACAAAAATACAATTTTCATTCTATTGTGTTCATTAAAAATATAATATTTCATTAAATCACGAAACCACGATACATATTATATATAGGTACTTATAAAATATATAGGTCGTAAAAACAATAGTATAACCTATGTATACTAATGTTATTGATTTATACAAAATTAAATAGTAAAGTAATAAAAAAAATAACAATAAAAGTTTTTGCATTCGAAGAGTATCCCTACCTACATAGTTTTGTAATAATCACGATGTAGTATCAATGATAGTGAGTGATTTTTATTATTATTATTGTTTTTGTATAACTAGCTTTTTTTTTTAGTGAAAATGTATATGTAATATAAAACATGTATAGGTTAGGTATACGCTGTGAATAATAGCAGCCATTAAAAAATATATTATTGTCACATTGTCTACAATTTAAGATTAAATATTTTCACAAACGTAAAAATTGGTGACAATTCTGAAAACCAAAGCATCCAAAGCGATTGTTTATTTTAATGTAAGTGTGTAGTTAAATCAAAAAAGAATAATGAAGAAGTAATTATATAAAAAATTCAATAGAAACTTTTAAAATGTATAATATATATTATGTACTAGGTAGGTATATCATGAACTCGTAAATGTATACATAATACAATACGCCATTACTAATAGTAATGGCTCATTTTTTTAGAATAGTAGAGTTTACCTTAAAAAAACGTACGTTTATCTATTGAAGTAATAATGATTAGTACCTAATTTATAACAGTACTCTTATTATTATTCCCATTTAACATGATATATAATATATAAGTAACTAGTAACTAGGTATTTACAACTAACATGATTCATGAGCCATCAACTAAGCTCTGTTCGCAACTATATTTAAAATGTGTAATAATACGTATTTTACAATACTAGTTTAGAGGTTGATGCTGAAATGAGCCATGCGAGACAAATACTCAAATTGAGCTGTGTATACTATTTATTTTCATAATTCTTGGTTTTATTTTTAATTGCGAAATAAGTACCTAAATATTAATATAATATATGATATAAAAGAAACCGTATAGACATAAGTATCTATCCATTCAACAATATTACTAGTATTCGTGTCACTTTAACGCTAGGTATCGAGTTTCTCATAAAACATTTAATATTAAATATTACAAGCATATTAGTATATCAAAATATTTTACGAAAAAAATATTATTATTGTTTTAAAGCAAAACGTGTAGGTATCTAATCATAACAAGTTCATATAATGACTAAACTAAATAATAATGCAAATTTATTATATTTTCAAGTTGCCTTGTTATATAAATCAAAGTATGTACCTGTCTATATTATATAAATAGTGGCGCAATAGGAATATTAGGTTTACCATGTAAATTTTAATTTTAGCTTTGCGAGACCTCAAAATCTTATAATCTATAGCCGAGATTCCTACAGGCTGTAACAAAAGTGCCGTGAAACTATTTTAAACATAAAATAATTAATAATAATTTATAATACATATTTTTATAATTAAAAAAAATTATTTTATGAAAGATATAACAAGATTCTTTAATTAGCGTGTTTTTTAAATATAATAATATGTGTATATAATATATTTGGTTATACTAAGTTAAAGAAAACCGAAGTTATAAAATAAATATATATAAATACATGCGATATACTATTATAGGGTGCCTGCCCTCCGGATATTTAGGAAATATCTGAGGGTGTCGTTAGTTAAAAAAGGTTAGGAACTCCGGTCAATAGCATACACTGCAGTCACACAGATATACATACAATATTTTAACTTAAATAAAAACTAAACTAAAGGCACTAAAAAAAATTTGTTCTACCTGTTTTGAATCACGGAATGAGTATATGTATGATATACTTTGAAAAGATAATTTCATAATATTTTAAAATTATTAATAAACGTGTCAAAAATGAAAGCAACAGCTGACAAGATGTCTTTGAAAAATAATAAGATGTAGTCAATAAAGTAACAAAATAGCAAACCCATTATTTAACTTTAACAGAATAAATAAGATTTTCCATAAAACATTGATGAAAATTACTTAGTTACTGATTAGGTTATAACTTATTTATATATATATATATTTGTATATATAAAATACTTTTACAAAATGTTGTCTAATTTATAAAGGAAGACATTTTAAACAAAATTTGTAAATATTTCATACAGATTTTATAATACAATTAGATAAATTATGATTTCACTAAAATAATTTAATACTTACACAAAAAAATCTATTTTTTTAATAATTATATCGTACGAAGTTATAAAAAACAAAACAATTGTCTTACTTAACGAAGCCTTTACGTTTTTTTTGTTATTCATTGTATTTTTTTTAAATCCCCCGTATAGTTAATGAAAAAATATATTCGTGATATTATAATATATACCTAATTGATAATGGGTCTAAATATATTCGGTAATTTTATAAATTTGTAACAGATATCAATCTGCATTTTAAACTATCAAACTAATATTACGGAGAAAGCCGAGTAACATAATAATTTACCATGAAGAAAATAGAAAACCTTCTTTTTATATATAAACTTCTTAAAAACCCCGTTTTACAATTATTTATAATAATAGCCAGACGAATCAGAATTTCAATGATATTATGATCAACAATATTACAATATTAATAAAGAAAAAATATAAGATTGGATAATTTTGTAAATTCTTTTATTTCAGATATCGTTTAATTTGTTTAATAAAAATCATATAAATGATTTGTTTACTTATAAATCATAACTCATAAGTTATGAATCATAGCATTCATAACATTGTGGTAAATTTAGGTGATAAATATATCAACTTTAATAGATTCTTATTAGCTGTTTACTATCTTGGACTTCATTGTATGTATATTTTATAGATAATTAAATTAAAAACATTAGTGTTGTTAGGTACTTGTTTCATATTTTGTTATTATTAAATATAATTAGATCTAATATCTATCATATTTTTAAATGATGTGTACTCGAAACATTTAAACGTATAGTAATGTATTAATATCTGTATATGTTTATCATCTATGCTTCCATATCTTTGAATGTTAGAATGTAAAAAATGTTATATTTAATATAAGTACAACGAGGTTGATAACTTAATAAAATATTGCGATCATAATGATGATATACATAGACGGATATCTTATTTCTCAGTGATAGGTTGCGTATATTTTATAGTTCAAGGACGAACACAAGATACTCGTGTGTCCGTAGTCCGTTAAAGTCTTCTTCGACGATCTAGAAATGTATAATATACGTATTGAGATTTATCGAATGAGCAATAATTTCAATACTGTTTATTGGTTTTTTTTTATTTATATCCCATCGCAGACTCACAGTGTACTTAAAACTTAGAAGTGCGCGTGTTACCAATACATGTCTAATAATAGTACTGACCGAGATCTTAAGTGTTTTATACATGATTTATTGTTGTGATTTCGACTTAATGTACATTATAAATTATGACAATTAGATACCAACCATTAACCAGTTATAGATAAATAAATAAATTGAACATCGCTATAATATTTCATATTTATATGAGTAGGTCCACCGTACCAGTCCCTATAGGACATAGGTATTTATATTATATTATTGTTTAACAATTCGTGTCGTTTACCAATTAATATCGGTATGAACACGATTTCGACGATAATTTCGTTTAGTTGTGGAAAAAAAATCGACCGTCACATAAATTATACTTTATGTCAAACCCTTTACCCTCAAATTATATCACGTCGCGTTTTCGGAATCCATTTATAATAGAATAAACAATTTTAATATACAATACATTAATACAGTAATATCGATAAAAATATAAAATATTAATTACGTATGTGCGATAATGTAATATACTGTTGTGACACGATTTAACACACGTCCGATGCGAACTGTTTCATGGTGTCAATTATGTAATGTATATATGTTACAGTATTGGCAGGTATGCCCAACCTGCAGCCCGCGAAGGTGTCCAACCGGCCCGTGTAAAAAAAAAATTATTATTTACAAAAAATGTATTTTATTAAGTTTTTAAGAATATACAATATTTTACAATTTCGAATTTTTATATAAAAAAAATGCATTGGATTTTAGAATATTAATAAAAAAAAATTAGTGAGAAATTTGGGCTTGTTTTTCTTTAACCAATCTTTCCATGTTCGGAGTGAAATGTGTAACGCCAATTCTTAATAAGAAGTGTAAGTACAATAGATATACCTATGATTAGTCTATATTTTATCGAAATGAACAAAAAAAAAAAACCCATGAAGCATATATGGCCCGCAGTACAAATATACATTTTGAATGTGGCCCGTCAGTTGAAAAAGGTATGCAGTATGATCTTGATGATATCCTATTCGGTGTTCAGGAATCATGTGAATCGAAACCTCGTGTACTCACACATATATACACTATAGACGT